TCTCTTTTTATTTCCCCCCTTTTCCTCCTATTTTTTTGTCTTTGTCTCTGTCTTTTTCCTCCACCCTCTCTTTTTTTCCCCCTTCTCCTTTTGTCTTTGTATCTGTCTTTTTTCCTCGCACCCCCTCTTTTTATTTCCCCCTTTCTCCTTTTTGTCTTTGTCTCTGTCTTTTTTCCTCGCACCCTCTCTTTTATTTCCCCCTTCTCCTTTTGTCTTTGTATCTGTCTTTTTTCCTCACACCCTCTCTTTTATTTCCCCTTTCTCCTTTTGTCTTTGTATCTGTCTTTTTTCCTCACACCCTCTCTTTTATTTCCCCTTTCTCCTTTTGTCTTTGTATCTGTCTTTTTTCCTCGCACTCTCCCTTTTATTTCCCCCTTCTCCTTTTGTCTTTGTATCTGTCTTTTTTTCCTCACCCTCTCTTTTATTTCCCCTTTCTCCTTTTTGTCTTTGTCTCTGTCTTTTTCCTCGCACCCTCTCTTTTATTCCCCCCTTCTCCTTTTGTCTTTGTCTCTGTCTTTTTTCCTCGCACCCTCTCTTTTATTTCCCCCCTTCTCCTTTTGTCTTTGTCTCTGTCTTTTTTTCCTCTCACTTTCTCCTTTTGTCTTTTTTCTTTTTTTTTCGCACCCCTTCTCCTTTTGTCTTTGTCTCTGTCTTTTTTCCTCCACCCCTCTTTTATTTCCCTTCTCCTTTTGTCTTTGTCTCTGTTTTTTTCCTCCACCCTCTCTTTTATTTCCCCCTTTCTCCTTTTGTCTTTGTCTCTGTCTTTTTTCTTCGCACCCTCTCTTTTTATTCCCCCCTTCTCCTTTTGTCTTTGTCTCTGTCTTTTTTCCTCGCACCCTCTCTTTTATTTCCCCCCTTCTCCTTTTGTCTTTGTCTCTGTCTTTTTTCTTCGCACCCTCTCTTTTATTTCCCCCTTCTCCTTTTGTCTTTGTCTCTGTCTTTTTTCCTCGCACCCCTCTTTTTTTCCCCTTCTCCTTTTGTCTTTGTCTCTGTCTTTTTTCCTCGCACCCTCTCTTTTATTTCCCCCCTTCTCCTTTTGTCTTTGTCTCTGTCTTTTTTCCTCACACCCTCTCTTTTATTTCCCCCTTCTCCTTTTGTCTTTGTCCTGTCTTTTTTCCTCCACACCCTCTCTTTTATTTCCCCCCTTCTCCTTTTGTCTTTGTCTCTGTCTTTTTTCCTCACACCCTCTCTTTTATTTCCCCCCTTCTCCTTTTGTCTTTGTATCTGTCTTTTTTCCTCACACCCTCTCTTTTATTTCCCCCTTTCTCCTTTTTGTCTTTGTCTCTGTCTTTTTTCCTCCACCCTCTCTTTTATTTCCCCCTTTCTCCTTTTGTCTTTGTATCTGTCTTTTTTTTTCCTCACACCCTCTCTTTATTTCCCCCTTTCTCCTTTTGTCTTTGTCTCTGTCTTTTTTTCTTCGCACCCTCTCTTTTATTTCCCCTTTCTCCTTTTGTCTTTGTCTCTGTCTTTTTTCCTCGCACCCCTCTCTTTTATTTCCCCTTCTCCTTTTTGTCTTTGTCTCTGTCTTTTTCTTCGCACCCTCTCTTTTATTTCCCCCTTTCTCCTTTTGTCTTTGTCTCTGTCTTTTTCCCCCCTCTTTTCTTTCCCCCTTCTTTTTGTCTTTGTCTCTGTCTTTTTTTCCTCGCACCCTCTTTTTATTTCCCCCCCTTCTCCTTTTGTCTTTGTCTCTGTCTTTTTTCCTCGCACCCTCTCTTTTATTTCCCCCTTCTCCTTTTGTCTTTGTCTCTGTCTTTTTTCCTCCGCACCCCTCTTTTATTTCCCCCTTCTCCTTTTGTCTTTGTCTCTGTCTTTTGTCTCTGTCTCCTTTTTCTTTGTCTTTTTTCCTCTTTTTATTTTATTTCCCCCCTCCTTTTGTCTTTGTCTCTGTCTTTTTTCCTCCACCCTCTCTTTTATTTCCCCCTTCTCCTTTTTGTCTTTGTCTCTGTCTTTTTTTCCTCCACCCTCTCTTTTTATTTCCCCTCTTCTCCTTTTGTCTTTGTCTCTGTCTTTTTTCCTCACACCCTCTCTTTTTATTTCCCCCTTCTCCTTTTGTCTTTGTCTCTGTCTTTTTCCTCGCACCCTCTTTTATTTCCCCTTCTCCTTTTGTCTTTGTCTCTGTTTTTTTTCCTCACACCCTCTCTTTTATTTCCCCCCTTCCTCCTTTTGTCTTTGTCTCTGTCTTTTTTCCTCACCCCTCTCTTTTATTTCCCCTTTCTCCTTTTTGTCTTTTTGTATCTGTCTTTTTTCCTCGCACCCTCTCTTTTATTTCCCCCTTTCTCCTTTTGTCTTTGTCTCTGTCTTTTTTCCTCGCACCCTCTCTTTTATTTCCCCTTTCTCCTTTTGTCTTTGTATCTGTCTCTTTTCCTCACACCCTCTCTTTTATTTCCCCCTTTCTCCTTTTGTCTTTGTCTCTGTCTTTTTTCCTCACACCCTCTCTTTTATTTCCCCCCTTCTCCTTTTGTCTTTGTCTCTGTCTTTTTTCCTCACACCCTCTCTTTTATTTCCCCCCTTCTCCTTTTTTCTTTGTCTCTGTCTTTTTTCCTCACACCCTCTCTTTTATTTCCCCCCTTCTCCTTTTGTCTTTGTCTCTGTCTTTTTTCCTCGCACCCTCTCTTTTATTTCCCCCTTTCTCCTTTTGTCTTTGTATCTGTCTTTTTTCCTCGCACCCTCTCTTTTATTCCCCCTTTCTCCTTTTGTCTTTGTCTCTGTCTTTTTTCCTCGCACCCTCTCTTTTATTTCCCCTTTCTCCTTTTGTCTTTGTATCTGTCTTTTTTCCTCACACCCTCTCTTTTATTTCCCCCCTTCTCCTTTTGTCTTTGTTCCTCTCGTTCTTTTTCAAACTTCTTTCTTCTACTCATTATTTTTTATTGTTTTTTTCTTTATTTCCCTATTTCTTACTTTCTTTCTTACTTTCTTTCTTTCTTTTCCCCTATTTTTCTTTTTTTATCCCTATATTTATTTTTTCAATTTTGATTATATACACATGAAATAATCAACTGCGCACGACACAAATGCCTACTGTCTAGCACCGACGCTCATCTTTAAATACAATTGTTCTTTCCTTTTCTTGCTTTGGAACACGCAAGCGATGCACCTATTGCCCCCAGGCAGCCGAATAATCAGGCCTACGTCACTAACATTGGAATTTGGCGGTATCATTAAAACTGTGTTGATTCTCCTTCACAAAAAAAAAAAAAAATTAAAAAAGGCCACAATAACAACTATCCACTCGATTTAACACGCACCCTTAAAGTCACGGGACAACGTTTTGATCATTTCATACGAAGAATTGCGTTTAAATTTATTTTATTTATTG